TAATCTGAAAAAATTTTCCTTCAAAGGATTCTTTTTATTACATTTCCGAACACAGCAAGATGTGAAAGCATGAGATGCTTCCTATCAAATTCCAGTCCCTCTTTTCCTGACCTCTTTTTTGTTTTCAGCAGCAAGCAGAGATTTACACAGCCTGGTCCACCACACAGTGGAAACTCCCAGCAAGGTACTACCTTAGCCCAGGGCCTGGTGTAATCAGCTTGCCCAGAAATGGCAGAGCACTGGGAATGCCCAGCACTTCTGGCACTGCTGGTCTAGCACAGGTGCAGGGCTAGCTGAGCTGGCGTAAGACCTGGCCAAGTAACATGAAGGCAAATATATCTGCATACGTTTGGTTATGAGACTCCTACAGCAGCTAGCACTGATGAAATCTCACTGCTACTAGATCAATGCTATTACCACTGACAAGGCACAAAATTTTCTACACAAAAAAAGACTTTCCTATTCCCATAAACAACGATTAATCAATTTTGCTCATCCTCAGGCATTTTATCTAAGACTAATTGTATAATCCAACTGACATTTATTTCACTACCACCTTTTCCATAAAAAAAAGATGCGATGAACACTATCCCCCAAACATCTCGTTACTAATACATAACAATTCTCAGTCAAAAAGAGATCTCGTTATAGCAATAAAATTTATTTTGCTTTACAAAAATTGGCTGTCACAAAAAGTCCACGCGGGTAGCATAGCAGCTACCACACTTAAGCATCAGTTCAGCACTGAGCTCCAAGAATCTCAAATGAAACCACAGGAGATGATAAGCTAAGTTGAGGAGGTCTGTCACTTCAGCAGACTGTGCTAACAGTACAGTTTCATAATGAAGTCCCTGGATTGAAGAAAATGTAAAATCATCTGAGAATAAAGTTACCTGTCTTCAGCAAGGGTTTCTCACTGATTTCCCCTTATCAGTAAATTGGGAAACACCCAGTGAGGACGGCAACTTTGTACAGTTCCATCCATAAGGAATGTCATTCTGAACCTTACCTAAATGTACTTGAGCTCCTAGTCAGTCACGCTCCCTATTTCTAAAGGGTGGGAAAAAACTTTCTTGAGAAAGTGACAGAATTCAGACTGGACACACAGGCCATAAACCACCAGAGACAGACGCTGCTTTGGTCCTCCTTGTTTTGTGATGTTATGAGAAAGGACAAGCTAACCCAATATAAATAGATATGAGCAGCACAAACTCTAAATATCTTTTCTTTGTTCCAGCTCTCCCAAATACAGCCCATAAGCAATCTCTTATGTAATAAATCATTTATTTATGGGAAACTTTCTTTAATACAAATCTATTTTACCAAAACAGAAACACAGATGCAACAAAAAGAAACAAATAGCAATGTAAACTATGCATAATATCACCCTGACACAACACATCACTGCTGAGGCACTGCACTAATTACTGCACTAAGTGTGCAAACGAGAGTCCGGCCTGAATTCCACAACACATCCAGGTTTCATTCAGATGCACAACTGAATGAGAAAAACAGGAACCCCTAAAAGCTGGAAAACACACAGGATAAAAGGGTAAAAAACTGCCCCATCTCCATACGCATGTGATGCAGGTTTGGAAATCAGTGACGTGAGCAAAACCTACAACATTTAAGTAGATTCAAGATGAACATGCTGAGTACCAATAAGAACCAAGGAAGTTATTGTTAACTGTGACAATGTTTCTGCAGGCTTTGATGGACCATATATTGTACATTGTATTGTCTGACCCAGAAAAAAATGTTCTCTGTCTCAGAAGTAGTTGCAATTCCTACTGGAGATAAAGGACAAGACTGTCACAGAAAGGGGTCCAAAGACAGGCTGAGATAGGGATTTTTTTCAGAATTACCAAACACTAAGCAATTCCTCTACATTCAAAGTCAGTTACTAAGGCCTCTATATTTTCCACAGTTTGTCAGCTTATGTAATAGTCTAAGCGTAGATGTTTCAGTCAAAATAAGACTCCAAGTCTGTCAGGATTAACATTAATACCAATACTACGGCTAAATGTAAGGTGCCATTTGGGAAAGATGCCATCATCAAAATTTGCAGAAGCGCTAAACATTAGAAATTCCTGAAATTTAAAATGTAATATCCTTAAGTACAGTGTTACATGCATACATGAATCTTCACATGCAGAATGAGGCAAAGGGGGCACATATCCAGAAAAACAACATAAAGAAAATCAGCTTTTCTGATGCGTATATAGATTCACACCTTCACACCATAACTAAACAACAAAGAGCCCCAAAACGAAGCCATTTTATTGAAATGGAAATTATCGTTTCCATTTATTGAAACGATAGAGGAGTCTTTCAAGGAGTCAAATATTCTGAGGGGTTGAAGAAATTAATCACAAGATAACTTTTGCAGCAGCATTTTGAGGGATTTTAGGATAGGGATGTGTCAATTAAGAACCAAGTTACTATAGTTTTGGCAAAAGGTACAGGTGTCCCTGAGCCATAACAAAATGTACTTGTAAATTTCCAGTAAGCCTTCATTTCAACTGCCTTAGACTCACTTAATGCTTGCCTGGATTTAAAAAGAAAAGAAAAAAAAAAAGGTGACCAATGACATCAGGAAACTTTTTACAGAAAGACCAGAGAGTTCACAAGCTTTACATCCTCCCCAAACTTCATTACAACTCTGAATCCATCACTACTGAACCAAAGAGATATTAAACTGCCTAGATATTGATGGTAAAGGTGTTCCAATGTGAGAGAACTGGCTCACTGGACTACAAAGCCACAGGGAGCAGGGAAGTAAAGAAGGCTGCCTACATACTCGTGGAGCATCCATTTCCATTTCCCTCACTCACATGCTGTACCAGTGGGACCACTCTACAAGTGCCTGCAGGACTAACGCATACATGGGAGAAAGAAAGTGCCAATATAACTTGCTTCCTAAAAAAATCCAAACTGCTGACAGGACATGTCAAAAAAGGCCTTGTTTCTTGCATTCTTTACCTAAGCAGCTAATGACACGCTTTTCTTAGAGGTAAACAATTTTTTTTTTCAATTATGAAAGCTCATATTCTTTAATATCCGCTGCAACCCTACCTTCTCTGTCTCTAGCACTAGGGCATTTATCATTCACAAGGAGAAACGTTTCCAAGATCCTGGTAACAAGTCGATCTTACTATTGTAAAGTGGTTTTAGTTCTTACTTGGACTACATTCTTCTCCTGACCCCCATCCAGCCACGGCGAATTACTTCCTCTGCACTGCTCAGATAATCCCGTCCATCCCTGCGGGTTTATTCCCAGGCAGTCCCCTCCCTTTTAGCCGAAGTGCTGGGCTGGACTCGGCTTTCAAGAGCCGTTATCCGCCTACAGCTCCTTATCCAGGCAGCAAATCCCCGCAGCGTCCCTAACACTTTCCTTCCCTTTCCCCAGGGACTGCAGAAGGGAGGGGAAGGAGCGGAGCCGGGGTTAATCCAGGCCCCGGGATCTCAGGAGCCCCCCCGGGCCGGCTCAGGCCCCCACCTATGTGCACAGCCCCGAGCACCCCGCCGGCGGCCCGGCCCG